AAAAGAAAAAAGAGGATAGTTACATTTTAGCCCCGGCACCATTTGTGTTATACCAATTTCACCCATTAGTGGGTAGCAAAACAACAACAACAAACGCCAAAGTAAAATGGAGAAAACGAACAGCCTCATCGTGGTTTTCTTAAAGGTCGCCTCGATCATCGCCAGTAGCTTCCTTCAAAGGCTCAGCTTCGGCGGAGGACTGCCGTTTCTGGGCCACAAGTTGTTTAATTTCTTGCAGTTTTTTTTCAAATTCGTCTTTACTGCAGGCCTCATAACTACAGATTCCATCCTCAATCCATTCCTGCACCTCAGACAACTTCGCCCTCAACACTTCAGCTTCCTCCGCACTCAGCAGACCTAACGCAGTTGAGTTTCCCAAAATACCCTCACTTTTAGCCCAAAAAACATAGGCCTCCAAATTATTTTTCGCTACGGCCGCTTCATGTTTCATTTGTTCCTTTTCAAGTATCAGGCTTATCTTTTCCCTTGAATGCTGGAAAGCCTCCAGCGATAACGGTGAAGGGTTTGTAAAACTCACAGCTGTTGAAATGGGCAATGATTTTCGCTTCATAATAATACTGTATACTTTTTGGTATGAAGTGTTTGTGTTATCTGTATCATTTGACGTTGCATTTATCTTAATTTTTCTAGAGACATTTGCAGCATAGCGGTAAATGGCATCTGCCTCCTCAACCTCAAAAAGACCAGAATCATTCAGACGCAATTGAACCCGAACAACATGGGTATTGTTAGGATGTAGAATAGTTGGTGTGAAATATCCCAATTGTTCCAGTGCCGCTTTCACACCGATTACAGTAATCTTCCCAACGATAGTGTTGGACTCAAAAAGCTCAATTGCAAAATCTTCCGTTCTATTAAGAGTTATACTTCGCCGCATACCCAAAGCTGGATTTTCAACAAGCAAGCGCGGTGATGGGGAAGAAGTTTTCAGAAAAGGTGTGACGCAAAAGGAGAAAACAAATGGTATATGCTCCTCTACTCGAAAAGACCGAACACGATAAAAGGAGGATAACCGGAGAGCATAATAGGCAGCACCTAGAGCAGCTGCTTCATCCGAATTCAATGTTCGATCCACTTCTCGACCCAACATGGCCGAAAGATCGGATATAATTTTTGGAGTCCGAGAGGTACCACCCATCATCTCAAACGCATCAATCTCTTTCAAAGACAATCCAGACTTAGACAAAGCTTCTTCCACGACTTTAGGAACTCGTTCAAATAAATAAGCACATTTCACCTCCAGATCCTTTCTCGATATTTGTGTATTAAAATTTCTGTCCGGAACTATACCTTCAACAGTAACTGGGGTCTTGCTGTTTGCAGAGAGTATCTCTCGAGCTTTTTTTGCTGCACGAAGGAGAGAGAATTGCGATTTTCGCTCTGGGATTGATTTTCCACCAATAACTTTGGGAATCTTCATTTTGTTCATCGCCTCAACTTCAAGCATCTTGGCAATACATAAATCAAATGCCCTACCACCCAACATTGTATCGTCCACCACAGCCATTGTCGTTAAAGTACCAAAACTGTCGGCATTTCTAATTTTCTTTCCAGGCTGCGCAACTGGGGGAGAAAATTTATAAATACCAACTTCAGTATGAGTGCTTCCAATATCATACACCAGTAGGTTTATAGTTTTGTTTCCCAAACCTCGTCTTCGGATACCATAATATAAGGCAGCTGCTGTAGTACTATGCATTAAACCCAAAACATCTGCTCCAACTAGACGTGCTGCTTCCAATATAGCCTGTCGCCGCCCCAGCGAAGAGTGAAATGGTATTGTAATAACGACACTTTTGGGATCCACTACGCCGTCTTTTTCTGAAATACTTTGGCAGTAGCGAAGCATCATGGCATATAGTTCCTCCACAGTGTAACTTCCGTCTTGAGGAAAAGAAAACCCAACCGTGTTTCTCTCTTCGGGGCGAGTTTCAAACTCAAAGTTTAAATTCCTGAAATCAGAAAATTCAGTAGAATTATATGAAATCCCTATCATCCGATTAATCATCGTCACCATATTTAAAGGAAAACGAGCTGCCAATGCCTTCGCCTGGTCTCCAATATATCGTTCTCCATTTTTGAATCCGATGTAGTTGTCCGTTTTCCGATGGGATTGCTCGTTGAGCACAATATCAACATTGTTACCGTTGTGGGGTCCTGCAACCTCAATGTAGTCGGACCCAAAGTCAATGCCCAGAACATTTGCGGAAACTCCGTAACTCGATAAAAGAGTCAGAACAACAAGAGTGATGAGTCGCATTTTCTATTACACTAAGTAGATAACAAGCAACACGCAGAGGCTCCCTACAAGGATAAAAAAAAGTTAACAATAGACAAATTAAAGAAAAGAAAAAAAGTCATTACCATATATCGACATAAATATATAAACATTATTTGGAGAAGACAATAAGAGGTACTTGCAAGAAGATGGAAAGAAAAAAAATAACAATAATAACAATAATATAAATTAAAGGGGGAGAGAAAAAAAAGGCCACGTAGCCCATGCCAAAGAGCCAAGGAAAAAAAGAAAAGAAAAATATAGACTTTTATTATTATCCACTGACTAAATATTTACAAAGAATTTTTTTTTCGCAATGCCTGGAACCAAGTTATAACCTTCTTCATTCACAACTTTGTATACCGTCCATTGTGTCACCTTGAAGACCCCATTATACGGCCTCGTTTTCTTTTTTTCCTTTCCATCTATTTCCACGCGCTTTATATGTAGCCTACAACAACAACAACTCATCTCGAAGGGACAAACAACGCACGCACGCACGCACACACACACACACATAAGGAACCGGAACAATAGCGAGAATAATAATTTTAAAAAACCGCAACCGAAAATGAGGCAGTAGCAAATGAAAATCGAAAAGAGTAATATGACATAAGTGAGATGGTTGTGTAGACTCAATCTTTTCTTCTTCTTCCTTTTTTTATTTTATTTCTTCCATTATTATTTCCTTGTAGATGCACATCTTGGAGCAACAGGTGCCTTCTTCGCCGCTGTCATGACCTTTCGACCCTTTGTTCTCGCGTCTACGACTTTTTGCCAAATTGAGGTATAAATCTGTTTTGCACCCTTTTCGGTTATGTTAGAATGAGATTCCAATATACGTCTAATAAACTCTGCCTCGGGAATGTGCACCAAAGTTCTTCCATCTCCCTCAGGAAGAATAGACTTTGGTTCAGTTATTCTCCCTCTCGAACACCGAGAGATAAAATCCAAGGCTTGTTCCCTGTCAAAACCATTTGGGTCATCTGGATCGTCTGCGACAACACGTGCAGGTGGAGAAACAGCAAGAAGTGACGCATACCTCAAAGTATTGATTGTGTGCCTCGAGTCCCTTAACAAGGGTGAAACACATGCTATCATCACCGTTTTTGTTGGTCGCTTCACAGCAATCTCAAAACAATCCCTAAGTAAGAGAGTCAAGGGTGATCTCCTGAATGGAATATGTAGATGATTGGTACTGGTTGCTGCCATGGCACGAGCTCTAATGCATTCTTTGAGGGTCATAAGTGAAGTATTGATAAACTTTGCCTCCATTTGCCGCTCTTTGTCATGTGTTGCACTATCCGCTGTGTTTTCGCTTCCTGCGAGGTCCACTAGAAAAAGTTCTCCAGGCTTTGCCCATGTGCTGGTTTTTGATACAATTCGTATACAAGTTACCATATGTGTGCGGGAAGAGGCTTCATTCCTACCAGTTGCCTTGGTCACTCGTTGAGATGCCGCTTCCTCAAAAACGGCCCACAATATTTCTTCATTTGAACACTCAAAGGCATCAGCTCCTCTAATTTTTAGTTCTCCAGATACATCTTCCACGACTTGTACCTCAGTTCCGGTAAGAAGATCGATGTTCTTATTAGCTTGTATTTCAATCACGGTGACAAAAATGTCATTTGCTTTGAAATGTGGAGCCAGATCTTTTGATGCAAGTTGAAGAATGCCTGTCGTTGTATAAGTTTTACCACTCCCAGTTTGTCCATAACAAAGAACACATGTGGAGGCACCTTCAACCGCTAAATTGACAAGAGGGTAACAGGATTCTCTATATACAGTTGAGGTTTCATCCATTCCCCCAAATACGCCATCAAGGTTCAAGGCAAGAGGATCAAGTAAGCACTGTCCTGCCAATGAGATTTTGGGTACCATTAGGACAAGATCACGGCGTCCTTCGACTTTACGAATCATGCCTTTACTGTTCATGTCTTCATGATCAAAAGGAATAATTGGCCGACACCGCACAAAAATCCGGGAGTCTTGGGAAGTGAAAAGTTCCTCCGGATCCATGGTGGCACGAAGCTTTTTCTTCACCGCTTCAGGTGCCTCAGTGGAGTCAAGTAACTTCTGAAACTCAGCGGCCTTCGCCCCAAGCTCTGCCACCAATGGAATACTAGGCATGCTGACAGTCTATAACTTTTTTTTTTTTTGTTCCTTTCCTGTTTGTAGTATGGACCGAACTATAACCCTATGAGTCGCAAAAAAACAAACAACCAGAATTCTTACACATATCCAAAAATAAAACAAAATAAAATAAAAAAGGAAGATCTGCACTTCCCTATGCTTTCGCCTTTTGCACCGATCCGCTTGGGAGGTCACGGGCGAGACGCCCAACGGCCATCCGACAAATCGGAAAGAAATAAACACGCACGCAAAAACACCCAAACAAAAGAGACAAAAAAAAAGCGGCGGTACCCCCCGCCACTTCTCACTAACAAAAAGGCCCCGCCGCCGGGCCCCGGGGGGAGAGCGAACCCGCGCGGCGGGGCTGCAACAAAGAAAAAAATATAGAACAAAACAAGTCGGCGCCGCCCGCCGCCGCCGCGGCGGAAAAGCGGCTG